ATCTCTATCTCTCTCTCATTCTCTCTTTCTATCTCTCTCTATCTCAGCTAAAAGATTCAGCAGTTGTTATTATTACAACTACTTTCATCATCATCACCATCATCATCACCATCATCATCATCATCATATCATCACCACCACCATCAACGTCATCACCACCATCATCACCATCATCATCATCACCATCACCATAGCCACCATCATCACTACCACCACTACCACCACCATCATCATCACCATCATCACCACCACCACCATCATCACCACCATCACTAATCTGGGAAGAATAAAACAAAATTACACTCAAATAATTATTTTTTATTTCTTAATGAACTGATACAATATTTGTCTGTTAATGATAAAGACGAGGAGCACAATAACATAGACATTTGTTCTCATATAACACAAATAATGTTCTACTCTTGTTCTCACTCCAGTTCTCTCTATCTGAACTAACACACGGCTCAAGAAAAACGAAGTTAACGCTATGGCAACTTTAACCAATTGTAGCTACAGGTTAATGCTATGGCAACTTTAACCAATTTTAGCTACAGGTTAACGCTATGGCAGCTTTAACCACTTGTAGCTACAGGTTAACGCTATGGCAACTTTAACCAATTGTAGCTACAGGTTAACGCTATGGCAACTTTAACCAATTGTAGCTACAGGTTAATGCTATGGCAACTTTAACCAATTGTAGCTACAGGTTAACGCTATGGCAACTTTAACCACTTGTAGCTACAGGTTAACGCTATGGCAACTTTAACCAATTGTAGCTACAGGTTAATGCTATGGCAACTTTAACCAATTGTAGCTACAGGTTAACGCTATGGCAACTTTAACCACTTGTAGCTACAGGTTAACGCTATGACAACTTTAACCACTTGTAGCTACAGGTTAACGCTATGACAACTTTAACCACTTGTAGCTACAGGTTAACGCTATGGCAACTTTAACCACTTGTAGCTACAGGTTAACGCTATGGCAACTTTAACCACTTGTAGCTACAGGTTAACGCTATGGCAACTTTAACCACTTGTAGCTACAGGTTAACGCTATGGCAACTTTAACCAATTGTAGCTACAGGTTAACGCTATGGCAACTTAAACCACTTGTAGCTACAGGTTAACGCTATGGCAACTTTAACCAATTGTAGCTACAGGTTAACGCTATGGCAACTTTAATTACTTGTAGCTACAGGTTAACGCTATGGCAACTTTAACCACTTGTAGCTACAGGTTAACGCTATGGCAACTTTAACCACTTGTAGCTAGAGCCAGTTGTTACGTAAGTGGTATTTTAACCTTATTGCCATGCCATTAAGATATCCTAACCTAACCTAACCTAAAATAATTATATAACTGATAAGAATAACTGAATATTGATAACTACAGCAAAGGCAAAACGGTAAATATATTGATACACGAGATAATATAAAAAGAAACATACTGTACATTGAAATATTTTAGTCGATATGTGAAGTAGAATGAAACATGAAAATAATATTGAAATAATAAAAAAAAAAGATGAAAAATACTAAACTGTATTCTAGGAAGGAAGGAAAATGAAGGAAGAATAAGGTGTATGTGACTTGCTGTAGTGTACGTGAGTTATCGTGGTGTACGTGAGTTACTGTGGTGTACGTGAGTTACCGTGGTGTACAGTGCATGAGTGGCCACTTTGTACTCTCTCCTCTTCTATCTCCATCCCTCTTCATCCTTCAGTTTTAGAGAGAGAGAGAGAGAGAGAGAGAGAGAGAGAGAGAGAGAGAGAGAGAGTTCGCTCGGATAGACAAAATAAAAACAATTAATTTTACTCAACATCGCCGGTGACAAACAGACCCCCCCTCTCTCCACCCATCTGCTCCATAGTTCGTGTATTATAATAAATCATACATTAATGATCTATTTACCAGAATGTTGAAAACAGCTTCGTACTAAACAGATAAACAGAGAAATGTTACCTTAAAACATCGACAATTGAAGATCCTGAAATAATGTTTAATTTTTACACCATATCATAACCTTTCTATGTACACAAGATTATGACCTTTTTATATACACAGGATTTGATTGTTAGTATATTTGTCGTGAAGTGGACTGCAAGAGTAAAACAGTTTAATGAAGAAAGAAAAGTTAATGTGGTGTTTGGAAGACAAGAAGTTGAATATTGTTTTTCTTCAGAATCTCAAAAAAGATTTGGAAAGTGAAGATAATTACAGCGTTATGATAGTGAAAGGTGCTGGTCTTTGTATATACATATGGCTGTATCGTCTACTGTATTATTTGTAGCATTATCAGACAATGACTTTGTTTGCTTCTGTTCAAATTCATTGTCTGATGTTTGCTGGAGAGACATCAGTGTTTTGTGATAATGTTTACACTGTTGACAAAGGTGTGATTTTGTCTCGGTTTATTTACTTGTATACCTTTCACTCTTCTCTTTCTTAAAATCAAATAACAAACATTAGCTCTCAATACTACTGAAATATATTATTTTAATGGTTAAGTAAATGCTAGGCAAAATATTCTCAATGGATTCCTTAAAGATAATTTTTTTATAAAAATATCCGCCATTTTAAGTTTCATTTATTTCTGTTCCTTTAGAGATTATCACTGATTTTTTTTCCCAATTTTTTTGTTAACCTAAATTGCAATATACAAAGCAGAAATCAATAATTGAACTTCATTTCTTTTACGATATACTGTATAGTTGTTTATTACACACACACACACACACACACACACACAAAGTATACAGGAGAAATATCTATGTATATCACAACTACATATTTGAATTAATGTAGAATGACAAAATGAACCCAAGTTACACCAGGTGACTACATCAATATTAAGCAGGTATTATTATATTAGTAACTGGCTGATACAACGAGTTAATGGCGTCATAAAATAGTACTGTTTCTCCCGTTATTGTGGTCAGGTCACAGCTGGCTAAATGATCCTCACTATACCTGCTGTAGGCGTGAATTATTAGTATTATCATCATTATTATTATTATTATTAGTAGTAGTAGTAGTATTATTAGTACTATTATTATTATTATTATTATTATTATTATTATTATTATTTTAAAATGATATCACCGCCTTTCTGTCTCTCTCTCTCTACACACACACACACACACACACACACACACACACACACACACACACACACACACTTTACATTGAGTCTACACATAATTGATATATTTGTGTATATTTTGAAAGCCAGGCGTTTTCAGTACATTACCCCATATATACTCAAAGCGGGCTTTCACCTGTAGGATAAACAAAGTTATTAAACTGACCACTATAAAAGAACATACATACATACATACATACACACATACATACATACATACATACATACATACATGCATACACACATACATACATGCATACATACATACACACATACATACATACATACATGCATACACACATACATACATGCATACATACATACATACGTACATTACATTCATACTTACATACATACATATAAATTTACATAGTCTTAGACTCAGTTACGTCTTTACATTACATTTATCTCCTTCTACTAATCTAGTCTTAAACAAACACAAAAAAAAAGGTGGAAATACCTACGATTAGTCTTTGGGATAGTATGCTACAGCACCAGTTTAATAACATATTTACATTCAGTGTTTATTTACATTTACACACAAAAATATATGAACTGCATCTCCTTAAAGCGAACACACGACATCTTGGAACCGTAGAATGCGCGGCGTGGTTCTTACACACTAATAATTGGCCATTTAGGTCCATTTAACCTTAATATTTAAACTCCTACTACAGCTGTACATTGTTCCCTCACTCCAATGAATTATTCACTGGTACCTGTTTACATCTATCTTCCTTATACAACTATACAGTTTTGCCAGAGTGTACAGTATATATCCTATTTCCTTAAGATAATTGTATGAGCATATTTATTCCCTTACCACACATTAATATAATATCCCTATTTGGTTATATCACTTATATTCTTGATCTGTTCCGTGAAGTATAATAAGAAACTAATTGGCTTTTTGATCAGATTCTTCAAGTTGTTTTTACGTTTTTTTTTCTTCACCTAACTGGGTATCTGAGGACATGTCTAATTTAACTAACATGGCGACAATATTCTACTACCGAGACTCTTACCTAACTATATGTTCCGTTATCCCCCAGTTAGTGAAGAAAAACAAAACAAAACAATTCATACCGGCGTAAGAATCTTTCAGAATCAGGAACGTAGATTCATAGTAACTGCTTCATTATTTACAGTGAATCATCGTGACTGGCAACACAACCACGCATCACCTCCAGTAACATTTACGTGTATATAACTATTTTCTCAGATCAGAAGAACCCATATTAACGTATTGTATATTACTCTAAAAACCACGAATATGAAATAACATGATTAATATAGATAAAAGTTGGAGGTGTTTTCAATATACAGTGTCTCTTTCTGTCTGTATTTGGCACATGTAAATTATATTATTGTTTGTGAATATGAAAAAAAAAGGTTCACACACATAGATACGTTCATGGTGTATAATATATTAATCGATGCTTCTTTTTCTTAACGTTGTTATCACCAATAATAATAAAAATACAAGAATCAAGATGAACTAGAGTACACAATGATGACTGACACCACCGCTGATGACTGACACCACCACTGATGACCGACACCACTACTGATGACTGACACCACTACTGATGACTGACACCACTACTGATGACTGACACCACCGCTGATGACTGACACCACTACTGATGACACCACCGCTGATGACACCACCGCTGATGACCCCAGCACCACCGCTGATGACTGACACCACCGCTGATGACTGACACCACCACTGATGACTGACACCACCGCTGATGATTGAAACCACCGCTGATGACTGACACCACTACTGATGACTGACACCACCACTGATGACTGACACCGCTACTGATGACTGACACCACAACTGATGACTGACACCACTACTGATGACTGACACCACTGCTGATGACTGACACCACTGCTGATGACTGACACCACCGCTGATGACTGACACCACCACTGCTGATTCATCCAGTGACTATCAGTACTTCTCCGTGACCGCAATGTAACAAGAACTTCTCAAAGTCTCTCACTGACAACATCATCAGTCTCTCAATGACAACCTGACGATCTACTGCCACCATCTTGTTATGTTTCTTCAAGATGATACACTATGTTTAAATTCACCGCCCTCTCTTTCTCCCGTGTTGCTCTAAGTTAATAACCTTTGTTTAATTAAGTGCTACCGAGAGTTATTTTATCAGCAGGTATTTCTGTGCTTCAATAACATCTTTAACATTCCTACAACAACAACACTTATTAAGAGACTGTCTTAAGTAAAACTGTGTCACATTGAGAGTTATAATCCACAACTTACGTCAGGTTTATTATCTACAACTTTCTCCTTGTTTGGTTATACATTTTCTATCTCGCTTTCATTATTGTTATGATTCTTCGTCGTAGATGTTTAAATGTTAGACGTTGCATGTGAGGAAGAAGAATTGAATGGTCCAGGAATGTATGTGTGTGTGTGTGTGTGTGTGTGTGTGGCTCCCTGCTTCAATATCGTTCAGTGCGTTATGGTTCGATGCAGAGTTCACAGAAGCTTTCACTACACAACACAAACCCTTCCTTCATTACCTTCAAACGTAATCGGGTATTAATTTTGTTTATTTCTTTATAATTTTTGCCTTATTATCCCACCGATATACTTGAGATTCCAGGCTTTTTATAGTAGCAGTTTATAAGGTTGTGTTTGAGCACATTAATAAATGAGTTGTATAAAATATATCTGTATTATTCACTATTGTATCTTTGATGATAAGAGCTAATCAGTAAAACCAACACTTGATAAAATACAGTTGTAAGTACAGTCCATTGGCACAGTCACCAGTCTCACCGATAGTCGTAAAACACACTGTTACTTCAACTTTTATTTCATATCGTGTAATATATTGACTGTATCATCATGTAACCTTCATTCAGTGGTAGTCTTTGAGTTTGTTCTCATAGAAGGTTCTTTCATCATCATGGTCTATATTCATTCTGTTTTGTACTTTCACGTAAAATTAATTTTTTTTTCAACATTACATAATTCTTTACTTGTATCTTCCCGGATTAAAATTAATACCTTTCAGATTGTGTTAACTTTTCTTCTGTATTCCAACAAAATATCTCTCACTTAATAATATTTTCACCGCTGTACCAATATTTTTCTCATCCTGCAGCAAACTCAGCGAGACTTACTGTATTGTCCCGTCTCCAATATTACAGCTCGACTCACTGACCTTGCTGCAACGACCTCCAACCTCATAATCTCGCGTCTCTTCATTAAACTGACAGGTTGATCCCGCCCAAGATGGTATAAGACACAGTTACCTCATTTTCCTGTACATCTTGATAATTGACTACAGCCGAGTTGCATCTTACAGCGAAGGACTCAGAGACTATGTACTCAGTGTTCCCATAGAGTCCGAGTGTATTCATCCGCCAAGTACTGTATCTCACGTGGGCTCTTACAATAAAGAATCTTTGACGGTGGACTTGACGTCAGGGTCCCCACCACTATTAGGGGCTATACCGGCGTTGGAATTGCGATAGGTGAGATGTTGACCAGTAGCTGTTGGTGGTTGTTGTGGTGCTGGTTGCAGTAGTGATTGTTGTTGTTGAGGTGGTCCACCGGTTTGGGTACTGACGGGGTTGTAACCGTTGGCGACATATGTGGTCATGGTGGTCACTTCAGAACACAGTGACTCCCTCTTGCCGCCGAACAGCCGCCGGCTATAACTGTTACAAAGAGAAGAACAACTCACGTGGTGAACACTTCCTCCCATGACATAAGGGAAAGAACAAAACTGAGAACACTTTAATGGAAGAACATAGACAAAGAAGACTTTATTCCAAGATATAACTTCAAGGTTTAAGAAATTGAACTTTTATCTCAAGACATTACTGAAGAACATACAGTGAACATATTATATCAATATATAACTGATAAAACACAGATGGTGAACACATTACGCCACAGTACGCAAGATGAAGAAAATAGTTAATAGTATATAAAAAAGTTATATTTTCTAAAAGTATTGTACCTATTGTATATTTTGCCATGTAAGGGAAGGGCGTTCATATTTTGTTAGGTATAGTGTTATTTATGTTATGTAAAGGCCAAAGTTAATTGTCGTTTGGGAAAAATAATAAAAAAAAATATAAAAAAATTCACGACAATGACTAGCAATTACACACACACACACACACACACACACACACACACACACACATAGTGAATTCTAATTTGACGACCATAATTATTTTTGGATTAAAGAAAACTTACATAACGTCAAGGAAATGAATAAATTGTAGTTTTAATTATATTCAGATTCACTAAGGTCTTTAAATATCGTTCATCAAATCTTAATTAAATATCATAATTAAACTTTTAAAGAGTAACAAATATTTCTTTTTGTATTATGACGAAATGAATGGAACATGCATACAGCAGTGAGAAGTTTTTACCCGTGTTATCATGATTTCATGGAGTTCAGGTGAGACTCAACTATAAATATTATTGTTGACGAGTAAATATATACCATTTATATTTCATAATCAAACGACCAAGAGGCTAATGATAAACTGTACACTTGTCCGTATTAAATTGGGACAGAGGATAGTTTACAGTGGCCGGTTCACAGTGGCCGGTGTTATAATTAGAGAGTTATTAGCGTAGGAAAAATCCGGATAAACGAGTTATTAGTAAGAATTCGGACTAGCGAAGTCTTTGGATTAATGGAAGTTCGGACCAGCGAGTTGTTTGGATTAGCAAGGGTACAGCTTAACGTATGACAGATAAAATAATGTCCAGATTAACGAGACTTGGGAAGGTCTGATTAACGAGAGTCCGATTAAGCGAGAGTTCAGATTTGACAGATGTTCGAATTCGCGAAATTTCGAATTAACAAAAGTCCGGATTAACAAGAGTCCGGATTAGAGAGAGCCCGGATTAGGGAGAAAGACCTTATGTTTTTTACTATTGACAGTTTGATGTGTAGCAATTTTACGACACGGTTTCCCCTCCCTGTCTCTTATTATACCCTCTTCCCTCTTTCTTGGTCCTACTTCACTTTCTCTCTTCCTTCTGTACTTCTATTTCTTTTGATCCATATTTTTCTCCTCCTATATATCTCCCTTTTCCGTATTTATCATCACTTCTCTCCCTTGTTCTCTTTCATTAAATAACTGCTGCTTAACGATGTATTATACCTGTATTTTTACCTGTACATCCACCTGTAACTGAACTTCATCTGTGGCAGAGTCGTAGTAGTCGAGATGAGAAGGGGTTCGACTAGCGTCTCATGGATCACGTTTCGAGTCATTCATTCCAGTGTACCTGAACTTGTACCTGTAACTGAGTGTGTACCTGAACATATACCTGTAACGAAAACCATCAACAACGAATACAGAGTTACTGTATTGTATCGACCAGCGTGTTAATTGTAGTCTCAACCAAATGGAGAGGATGCCAAACATACGATAACAGTTATAAAACAATATACCTGTTTCGTTTTTACATCTATATGTATATCAGTCTGTCTATATAATAAGTATATCAATCCATCAATCCAACTCTATAATACATATGCGTTCTGAATTTCATGTTACAATCAATTCAGTTTGGTACAGCCTATACAGGTTTGACTATTAAAATTAGTCGTGCATAGCCAGTATAATAGTCCTTGCGTCATAGGATCCATTTCAAATATTTATGAATATTCTCTGGGCTATTTTATAAGCCCCCCAAAATTCTACATTTGTGACACGTGCTTGAATATATATACATGGTGAATCAATATAAACTTGCCTGGTGTATTTTACTAAACAAATATATATCTATCCAGGGTGCTTGCGCTTTTCTACGCCAACACATAACCAAACCAGCGAACCAAATGGCGCTGGCGTTTTTAATGTTTTTTTTTAACTGTTTTTAATGGTGTTTGGGTTATGTTATGAAACTTTTAATTCATAGTGGTGTTTGTAAATTATTGAGTGGGGTATACATACGTCTGACAGGTCGGCAGGGATGTTGACAGTAAGGGAAATATTATCGTATTGTACGGACTACCGGCAATCTCCCACCCTCCCCGAACACGTCTCCTTCCCCTGTCAAATCCGCACCCCCCATCACATTCCACCTTCGGGGCATCTGTGGAATGAATGTCTAATTCAACTCTCTATCTTCAAAATTATAGCCGTGCATAGCAAACACAGACAGACATTGTGCTCTCTCTATATAATGAAGCCTGATAGTTTAAGAAGTAACCGCATGACTGAAAACGAATAAATTGGTGAAGTAGAACTATTATAAATTTCCTCTGGACCCCAAACATCACCTGTGGTATTTTTCAAGAGTGCTTTAGTGAATGACGAGGACACACGAAACAAACACCATGTTACTAAAAATTAATTAACACATGGCTTTAAGGAACAAGACTTTAAATAATGAAAATTTGAATAACGGTTTAGGGGTATTATCATTATTAACAAGTGCTAGAAATATATTTAAGCAACGAGTTTTGATCAATTGTAGTGTTGTAGTATAATAGTTGTAGTGTTGTAGTTGTAGTATAATAATTAGGGTGCTGTAGTTTTGTATTCTGACGTTAATTGGTGTAGTTTTGGATTTGAGGAGACCTGATACTGTTGTTGTTGTTGTTACCGATGAAGTTGGGGGTTATAGTTGTTTTGTGTTTGTTGTTATTGTTTAGGTTGATGGTGTTATTATTGTTGTCTTTTGTTATTGTTGATATTGTTGTTGTTATTGTTGATACTGTTATTATTATTATTGTTGTTGATACTGTGGTTATTGTTATTGATACTGTGGTTATTATTATTGTTATTGATGATATTGTTATTGTTGATATTGTTGTTGTTATTGTTGATACTGTTATTATTATTATTGTTGTTGATACTGTGGTTATTGTTATTGATACTGTGGTTATTATTATTGTTATTGATGATATTGTTATTGTTGATGATGTTGGGTCGAAAAATATTCATAGTTTATTTTCAAAGAAAAATATTTTTATTTAAAGATGAAGTCAGCTGTAAACCCAGGAAATAGAGAAACTATGGACGTTACGAACGAACATACGGACATAAGTTACGGACGAACATACGGACATATGTTACGGACGGAGACACGAACTCGTTATCATGCACACTACAAATAGACGGACACGTACTCAATCGTGGTCGCTACTGACGGATGAGACGGACTCTTATCACTCACAGTCCAGCACGTTACGGACAGAATATACGGACACATGCACTCTAAGGACGGGAGATACGTACACATGCACTCACTATCGTATCTGCTACGGACGGAAAATACGGACACATGCACCCACTATCATGCACAGGTACGGACACCCTACTTACCCCTGTTCACGAGGGTTTGTAAAAAAACAAAAATAAAATAATTTTAAAAACAATATTTTTGTGAATTTAAACGAATACAAAGTTAAAAGAGAGAGAAGCTTGGCCATTACGAAACAGATTTAATCATCTTTAAAACATTGGAAACATTTATTTTAATATCGTTTTTATTGCAATCTATATTTTCCTTCTATGAATTTTTGTTTCGCCAAATGTAAAAAAAAGTAATTTACCTTCTTACTTTAATTTATATGTATTAATTATATTCGCCAGGTACACAAATACACAAAATAATAAATGTTCACTACACAAGCAGCAGTTTCCACTTCCCCAATTGTAAAGTTAAGTTATCTATCTACAACTGGGAGGACTAATGGTGTTTTGGGATCGAATCAGTGACAATAGGACAAGAGGCGAACTTTGTATCCACTCAGCCACGGCAACCCCCCCAAAACAGATAACAATGTCTGATGATACACAGGTAACACAGGTGTTGTTTACCTCACGAGGGATAGATGTGTCCTGTAAACCAGTAAATAAAAACTAAAATGTATAATAATCATACCGATGTGTATCTGTCGGGCTGCCGCTTAGCTCTATCACGAGAGCGCCTCCCCCCCCTCTATCTGTGTCTCTTGCCGTCCTTCTCTCTCTTCTCTGTATTATTATTATCTCTATGATCGTCCTTGTATAAAGAGCAAGTTAAAATTGTCAATTGTTAAGAAGAAAAATTCAGAAACAATCACTCATGCTTTAGTATAACACACGCACACAAACACACACACGCGCGCGCGCGCACACACACACACGCACGCACACACACACAAACGCACAAACTCTCACAAACACACAAACTCTCACACGCGCGCACACACGCAATGATAGGAGATATTGATGATGTCACTTTCGTTGATGAGCTTTAAGGTGACTCGAGAAGCCGATACGGAACCGGCAGCGCCGTCCACACATGTTGCAGGCGTGGAGGGCTACATTTAGTGCGGGAGGGTCGGCGGCAGCGTCTTTCCGGCGCTGTCGCTTGTCTACCTCGGTATGCAGTTGGGCTAAGTCTAAAGTATTGACACCTTCTCGTGTGATGCTCCTCCAAGTGTTACAGTGTGGAGTGATCGTCTCCCAGGTGAGGGGGCCGATGTGGCACTTTTTCAGGTTTGTCTTAAGACTGTCTTTATACCTTTCAGTTGTCCGCCAGCGTTATGTTTACTAGTCGTTAGGTGACTGTAAAGTAACTGCTTTGGCAGTCTATGGGTCATCCATGCGGGTAACATGGCCAGTCCAGCATAGTTGTTCATGGATAATGGTAGCCTCGATGCTCCTACAGTTGGTGTTAGCGAGAATAC